AGTGAGTAGTTTTTGTAGTGTATTACTACGCAGTGTGATCAGGTTACAATCAGTTCCCACGTGCTGAGATTCTATGAACACCTGTGTTATGCATTTATGAATGTAATTTTTGTCAATGGGTCTAAGCATACAGAATGTAAATATTACGTTATATACTACAATGTCGTACGTATCATATACTACGTTATATACTACAATGTCGTGCTTACAATGTATTAAATTATAGGTTATGATACCGATATATACATTGTTATATCACAATGAAATGCACTCTAATGTTAAAGAATAACACAACCAACTACATCGAAAAGTATGCCATTTTCATTTCACATTGTTACATCCTATACATTTTATTAAAAGAATGCACCAGGAGAGTTCAAAGTATACAACAAAGCGTCAGTTGTTCCGGCCCTGTGGTACTCTAGTAATACCATGTTACAAGTAGTATCCACCACAGGGACCTGCTTACTTGTTACAGTGGGACCTTACCTGATGTGTAAAGAGAATTATCAGACATGTTAAGGGTTAACCATACCATCATTGGGGATAACAAATGTATCGAGAGTTGATTTAAACCCCTTAAACGTCTAGTACGTGTTTCTCTCTACACACAGAATAGGTCCAAACATACCACATGTAGCAGATTCTCGGGTCCCTGTGCTATCTCCGCCGCGATTATGCAGGACCGCTACATCCGCATTGCATTTCGTGACTACAGGTCAATATTTTACATATTTGTATCCGCGCATATCATTCACCCTAAATTAATATGTTAATTTAACTTATAGTCACTTATAGTCACAAATAAAGGCATTATATTCGGTATTAACTGGTATTCAACAAAACTTATTCAACCAGCGACAATAAATACTCTGTATTTGACTGGTTTTGCTGACACGAAATACTGCAGAAAAGCTCTAATTTACAGGACTTGACCAAGATATATTGAAATCTTCTATTGATGAATAATATTCACAATATACCGACTATTCTTTATTTTACTGGTATTCAATAAAAAATACCAAATTCTCTTCTATTCAACTGGAATTAAATCATAAACATGCTACACGATACATAAATTGTATTATCTGAAATACACACACGAAATATCCCGAGTTTAAATGTTATTTAATAATAAAAATAAATTAAAAAAAACCGTTATATCCGTCAATGAACACAAATATACTGTATTTTATCTGCATTCGTTGAGAAAAATGTAAATACCTACATGTATTAATAATGTAAATATCATTTACAAAGAAGCACAAATTATTTGCATTATAAGTGGTTTACAAGAAGTACTGATTCATGTACTACTGCAGACAAATCACTAGATTATATATATTTCACTGTAGGTTTTCAGTATATACATTAACATCCCCTTTTTTCGTTTTGGATAAAACTGTATCGCAATTGGGCAACGAGACGTCCTTTGATGAGGAAGCTGAGCTGGTTAGAATGATAATATAATAATCTGAGGTCTAGGGTTCGAATCCTGGCTTTTGTTGATTATAATTATGTTTATTTCATCTTATTATTTTCGTATATGTCCGCAAGGAGAGTGTGTGTCTTTTCAGAAATGATTTAAAAAGCTATGGTCTTGTCGGAAAACAGTTTCTTATGTATAGTTAGTTTTTTGGCAGTGGTACGAATATCCTTATCTGGTCATTCCACAAGAAACACATAGTATCCTATATTTTATACACCGATTGTACTATTTTCATAAATATTTCCTTACAGGATGTTTATAAATGACTTAAATAAGATCACATAATCCGTTTTTCGGTATTTGCGACATTTTAGATATGGTTTCCGCGAGTACTTACATTGTCCTGTACACATATGCCCTACACTTAGGCGTAGTGTGAAGGAAGGATATTTTTTAAATCCCGTTTATCCTGCTTAGCAACTAGTATGTATATACATGACATCCTGTCCCCGGTACATCACTATCTATCAAGTCTACAGCTTGTAGCTTCTTCCCCGTGAATTTAGTAAACTTATTGTGGAATCTGTAAATTGGAAAAATATCAGAAAACGTTAACAAGTAGTAAGTGTAATGTTATTTTTTGGGATTTGAGCAGGAAATATATAGTCCGTGTTTTACTGCACATCTGTTTCAGGAAAAGCACTAGATACAGACGCAGGATTGTACCGCCTTGTCACGGCTGACATGTCACAGCCTTAATCAGACATGGAGAAAGTGTTTCTACTGGCGGCCATTAGTCTTATCGTTCTCATTAATGGTAAGTACAAGCACTCATCCTATCAGTCAGATTCGCGTGGAAGATATACAACACACGTCCACCTTTCTATCGAGTTCACTACCATCTATATCAGACATGTATAAAGCAAGTCACTTCCTTATACTATTTCATTATCAGTGTAGTATGTACAAATAGTTGATAGAGTTGAAAGGATACGCAAGTATATATCGTGTTATTTCACATGGTTTTTGTATACACAGTGTGGTGGTCTGATCTATACGATATACATACTGAGAAACAGTGGAGTTAAAGTTTATCCGTCTACAAAATCTTCTACAACCATGAAAGGTTTCCTCACGACTCATTTGAAAAACCTGTTAGAAGTTGGTTATCATTTTTGGTTAACCGGTATACCCTGGCCATTTCATTGGACAATATTTTAATTATGACGTCATGTAACAATGATTATCAACATCATCTTCAATTGTGACGTCATTATTTCTATATTGTTCTAAGTTATATATATCTAATATAGAGTTATGTTGTATTAGGTTAGATATACAGAGTAATGTTGTATCAGGTTAAATATATACAGAGTAATGTTGTATTAGGTTATATAGATACAGAGTAATGTTGCATTAGGTTATATAGATACAGAGTAATGTTGTATTAGGTTATATATATACAGAGTAATGTTGTATTAGGTTATATATATACAGAGTAATGTTGTATTAGGTTATATAGATACATAGTAATTATATTAGGTTATATAGATACAGAGTAATGTTATGTTAGGTTATATAGATACAGAGTAATGATGCATTAGGTTATATAGATACAGAGTAATGTTGTATTAGGTTATATAGTTACAGAGTAATGTTATATTAGGTTATATAGTTACAGCGTAATGTTGTATTAGGTTATATATATATATATATACAGAGTAATGTCTATTAGGTTATATAGATACAGAGTAATGTTATATTAGGTTATATAGATACAGAGTAATGTTATATTAGGTTATATAGATACAGAGTAATGTTGTATTAGGTTATATAGATACAGAGTAATGTTATATTAGGTTATATAGATACAGAGTAATGTTGTATTAGGTTATATAGATACAGAGTAATGTTATATTAGGTTATATAGATACAGAGTAATGTTGTATTAGGTTATATAGATACAGAGTAATGTTATATTAGGTTATATAGATACAGAGTAATGTTGTATTAGGTTATATAGATACAGAGTAATGTTATATTAGGTTATATAGATACAGAGTAATGTTGTATTAGGTTATATAGATACAGAGTAATGTTATATTAGGTTATATAGATACAGAGTAATGTTGTATTAGGTTATATAGATACAGAGTAATGTTATATTAGGTTATATAGATACAGAGTAATGTTGTATTAGGTTATATAGATACAGAGTAATGTTATATTAGGTTATATAGATACAGAGTAATGTTGTATTAGGTTATATAGATACAGAGTAATGTTATATTAGGTTATATAGATACAGAGTAATGTTGTATTAGGTTATATAGATACAGAGTAATGTTATATTAGGTTATATAGATACAGAGTAATGTTGTATTAGGTTATATAGATACAGAGTAATGTTATATTAGGTTATATAGATACAGAGTAATGTTGTATTAGGTTATATAGATACAGAGTAATGTTATATTAGGTTATATAGATACAGAGTAATGTTGTATTAGGTTATATAGATACAGAGTAATGTTATATTAGGTTATATAGATACAGAGTAATGTTGTATTAGGTTATATAGATACAGAGTAATGTTATATTAGGTTATATAGATACAGAGTAATGTTGTATTAGGTTATATAGATACAGAGTAATGTTATATTAGGTTATATAGATACAGAGTAATGTTGTATTAGGTTATATAGATACAGAGTAATGTTATATTAGGTTATATAGATACAGAGTAATGTTGTATTAGGTTATATAGATACAGAGTAATGTTATATTAGGTTATATAGATACAGAGTAATGTTGTATTAGGTTATATAGATACAGAGTAATGTTATATTAGGTTATATAGATACAGAGTAATGTTGTATTAGGTTATATAGATACAGAGTAATGTTATATTAGGTTATATAGATACAGAGTAATGTTGTATTAGGTTATATAGATACAGAGTAATGTTATATTAGGTTATATAGATACAGAGTAATGTTGTATTAGGTTATATAGATACAGAGTAATGTTATATTAGGTTATATAGATACAGAGTAATGTTGTATTAGGTTATATAGATACAGAGTAATGTTATATTAGGTTATATAGATACAGAGTAATGTTGTATTAGGTTATATAGATACAGAGTAATGTTATATTAGGTTATATAGATACAGAGTAATGTTGTATTAGGTTATATAGATACAGAGTAATGTTATATTAGGTTATATAGATACAGAGTAATGTTGTATTAGGTTATATAGATACAGAGTAATGTTATATTAGGTTATATAGATACAGAGTAATGTTGTATTAGGTTATATAGATACAGAGTAATGTTGTATTAGGTTATATAGATACAGAGTAATGTTGTATTAGGTTATATAGATACAGAGTAATGTTGTATTAGGTTATATAGATACAGAGTAATGTTGTATTAGGTTATATAGATACAGAGTAATGTTGTATTAGGTTATATAGATACAGAGTAATGTTGTATTAGGTTATATAGATACAGAGTAATGTTATATTAGGTTATATAGATACAGAGTAATGTTGTATTAGGTTATATAGATACAGAGTAATGTTGTATTAGGTTATATAGATACAGAGTAATGTTGTATTAGGTTATATAGATACAGAGTAATGTTGTATTAGGTTATATAGATACAGAGTAATGTTATATTAGGTTATATAGATACAGAGTAATGTTGTATTAGGTTATATAGATACAGAGTAATGTTGTATTAGGTTATATAGATACAGAGTAATGTTATATTAGGTTATATAGATACAGAGTAATGTTGTATTAGGTTATATAGATACAGAGTAATGTTGTATTAGGTTATATAGATACAGAGTAATGTTATATTAGGTTATATAGATACAGAGTAATGTTGTATTAGGTTATATAGATACAGAGTAATGTTGTATTAGGTTATATAGATACAGAGTAATGTTATATTAGGTTATATAGATACAGAGTAATGTTGTATTAGGTTATATAGATACAGAGTAATGTTGTATTAGGTTATATAGATACAGAGTAATGTTATATTAGGTTATATAGTTACAGAGTAATGTTGTATTAGGTTATATAGATACAGAGTAATATTATATTAGGTTATAAAGATACAGACTAATGTTATAAGGTTTATATATAGTTGTCTTTATACACTCGATATAGAGGTTATGATTGTCGCTAAGTGTTGTATCAGTTTAAAGGGTAAGTGATCTACATACATTTCTGATATATACAATGTACACTTTTGTAACATCTGTTATAAATACCAGGACACTAGGTGGCGCTTGTAAGAATGTGCTGCGATAGTGAGATAAGGCTATCCATTCAAACAGGAGTGCGTGTTTAATTTTAAAGTGGTTCCAGATAATATGGTGCTACGTACTTAAAACATCTGCCAGCTTGGAATCGTAATTATCTTAACGTAAACAAAATTGCTACGACCTTTAGTGTTTCATACAGGAACCTGTAGCACCTAACACTGAAATCTAGCTACAGCGCCTTACTACAGCACAAACCTGTTTACCCTCTCAGCAAACGAAATGTTTGTCTGAACACCGAGTATAACTCCGATATTCGGCTTTATATCTCCTTAACTATACACCGTTCTGACACGGTACAGTCTGTTACACAGTTAACTAACCTACACTTCACGGAATGTTATTTAAGTAATCTCCCCTACACTAAACATTATGTTATATAAGTTATCTCCCCTACACTACACCGTTTGTTATATAAGTTATCTCCCCTACACTAATCATTATGTTATATAAGTTATCTCCCCTACACTACACCGTTTGTTATATAAGTTATCTCTGTAACACTTCACGGTATGTTATATAAGTTATCTCCCCTACACTCCACGGTATGTTAAATGAGTTATATATCCCCTACACTACACGGTATGTTATATAGGTTACCTCCCCTACACTACACGGTATGTTATGTAAGTTATCTCCCCTACACTACACGGTATGTTATATAGGTTACCTCCCCTGCACTACACGGTATGTTATGTAAGTTATCTCCCCAACACTACACGGTATGTTATATAAGTTATATCTCTCATCCACTACACGGTATGTTATATAAGTTATATATCCCCTACACCACACGGTATGTTATGTAAGTTATCTCCCCTACACTACACGGTATGTTATATAAGTTATATATCCCCTTCACTTCACGGTATGTTATATAAGTTATCTCCCCTACACTCCACGGTGTGTTATATAAGTTACATCTCCAATAATACACATTATGCTATATAAGTTATCTCCCCTACACTCCACGGTATGTTATATAAGTTATCTCCCCTACAATACACGGTATGTTATATAAGTTATATCTCTCATACACTACACGGTATGTTATATAAGTTATATCTCCATACATAACACGGTATTTTATATAAGTCATATCTCCAATAATACACATTATGTTATATGAGTTATCTCTCAAATAATGTGTATTATTTGAGAGATAACTCATATAACATAATGTTTATTATTGGAGAAATAACTTAAATAACATACTGTGTAGGGTAGGGGAGATATAACTTATATAACATAATGTGTATTATTTGAGAGGTAACTCATATAACATAATGTGTATTCTTGGAGATATAACTTAAATAACATAGCGTGGAGTGTAGGGGAGATAACTTATACACATTATGTTATATAAGTTATATCTCCATACATAACACAGTATTTTATATAAGTCATATCTCCAATAATACACATTACGTTATATGAGTTATCTCTCAAATAATACACATTATGTTATATAAGTTATATCTCCTCTACACTACACGGTATGTTATATGAGTGATATATCCCCTACACTACACGGTATGTTATATGAGTGATATATCCCCTACACTACACGGTATGTTATATGAGTTATATGTCCCCTACACTACACGGTATGTTATGTAAGTTATCTCCCCTACGCTCCACGGTATGTTAAATGAGTTATATCACCCCTACACTACACGGTATGTTATGTAAGTTATCACCCCAACACTACACGGTATGTTATATAAGTGATATCTCCTCTACACTACACGGTATGTTTTGTAAGTTATCTCCCCTACACTCCAGGGTATTTTATGTAAGTTATCTCCCCTACATAACATACCGTGGAGTGTAGGGGAGATAACTTATACACATTATGTTATATAAGTTATCTCCCCTACACTCCACGGTATGTTATGTAAGTTATCTCCCCTACATTCCACGGTATGTTAAATGAGTTATATATCCCCTACACTACACGGTATGTTATATGAGTTATATATCCCCTACACTACACGGTATGTTATATAAGTTATCTCCTCTACACTACACGGTATGTTATATAAGTTATATCTCCTCTACACTACACGGTATGTTATATAAGTTATATCCCCTTCACTTCACGGTATGTTGTATAAGTTATCTCCCCTACACTCCACGGTATGTTATATAAGTTATCTCCCCTACAATACACGGTATGTTATATAACTTATATCTCCCCTACACTACACGGTATGTTATATAAGTTATATCTCCATACATAACACGGTATTTTATATAAGTTATATCTCCAATAATACACATTATGTTATATGAGTTATCTCTCAAATAATACACATTATGTTATATAAGTTATCTCCCCTACACTCCACGCTATGTTATTTAAGTTATATCTCCAATAATACACATTATGTTATATGAGTTCTATATACCCTACACTACACGGTATGTTATATAGGTTATCTCCCCTACACTACACGGTATGTTATGTAAGTTATCTCCCCTACACTCCACGGTATGTTAAATGAGTTATATATCCCCTACACTACACGGTATGTTATATAAGTTATATATCCCCTACACTACACGATATGTTATGTAAGTTATCTCCCCTACACTACACGGTATGTTATATAAGTTATATCTCCTCTACACTACACGGTATGTTATATAAGTTATATCTCCCCTACACTACACAGTATGTTATTTAAGTTATTTCTCCAATAATACACATTATGTTATATGAGTTATCTCTCCAATAATACACATTATGTTATATAAGTTATCTCCCCTGCACTTCACAGTATGCTATATTAGTTATATCTCCCCTACACTCCACGGTATGCTATATAAGTTATCTCCCCTACACTCCACGGTATGTTATATAAGTTATATCTCCAATAGTACACATTATGTTATATGAGTTATCTCTCCAATAATACACATTATGTTATATAAGTTATATCTCCTCTACACTACACGGTATGTTATATAAGTTATATCTCCCCTACACTACACAGTATGTTATTTAAGTTATTTCTCCAATAATACACATTATGTTATATATGTTATCTCTCCAATAATACACATTATGTTATATAAGTTATCTCCCCTACAATACACGTTATGTTATATAAGTTATATCTCCCCTACACTACACGGTATGTTATATAAGTTATTTCTCCAATAATACACATCATGTTATATAAGTTATCTCTCCCCTACACTACACGGTATGTTATTTAAGTTATATCTCCCCTACACTCCACGGTATGTTATATAAGTTATCTCCCCTACACTCCACGGTATGTTATATAAGTTATATCTCCAATAATACACATTATGTTATATGAGTTATCTCTCCAATAATACACATTATGTTATATAAGTTATATCTCCTCTACACTACACGGTATGTTATATAAGTTATATCTCCCCTACACTACACAGTATGCTATTTAAGTTATTTCTCCAATAATACACATCATGTTATATATGTTATCTCTCCAATAATACACATTATGTTATATAAGTTATCTCCCCTACAATACACGGTATGTTATATAAGTTATATCTCCCCTACACTACACGGTATGTTATATAAGTTATATCGCCAATACTACACATTGTGTTATATAAATTATCTACCCTACTGGGCTACGTAACATGTTATGTTAAAGTAGTTTGTTACATCAGTTGTCTCCCCTATATTACACTGTTAGTAAGGGTATTTATCTACCCTAAACTATTCGTTTTATTGTAGTGATTGATGGTCAGCGGAGCTGTAATGGACGGAGATGTGGTGACTGTGTGATCAATGGCACCAACTGTCACTGGTGTGCTCAAGAGGTAGGCATCACCGTCCATTCCTTTATTTTGATACTCTTCAGTTTGTCTTTACAATACCATTGTTTTCTCACAACCTCATTAGCCTACACAATAGAACTGTATGTTCATCGAAGTGATCCAGAAAATAGTATAGCAACCCCCTATCATAATTATCTACATGATAAAAGTATCTCCTTTACAGGATAGCGTTCTCACATGTATCCGGCTATTAACACCATTAATATCTTCCTTATTACAAGTTCTGGTATCTCCCTTGAAATCTTTATTGCTCAATAGTTACTTCCTTATCTCATAGTTTTGTATCTTGCACTATATTTTTCTGTCTAACACCAGAATTTTGTCTCTATTATCTATATGTTTGCTTTTTACAAAAAACTCGCAATGATGCTATGTCTTATCTGACCAAGTCTTCAATACATCAGGTAATTCCAGCTGATTGTTATAATAATATTCATTTTCATTGAACTTTCATCTATTCTCGTGCTGATTGAACTTCTAAATCTACTTTCTTGCTGACCTGTCACCTCTCTCAACCCAGATAATTAATATAATAGGATATATTACTATCTACCTTAAACTTCTACCAAAGTTTATCAATCTTCCCAACATGTATTCCCATTGACCCTCACCTCTTTTCAGATGATTTATGTAATAAATATTAAAAATTACTTATCACCTCTACGCTAAAAAATTTATTTTCCGGATTATTGATCTAATATATAACATAATTATTTCCTTTGACCTTTCATCTTTACCGAAATTGATTGACGTATTATGACGTACAATGTTATTGACCTCTCACCTCTAATCTTCAGGGATACAATGGAAGTCGGTGTGGATCTCGAGAGGAACTGACCAGGAACAATTGCTCTGATATCAAAAGTAAAAAACGTCAGGAAATAAGAATGATCAAGGTAAATTAAAAGCAACATTTCACATAGTGTTTATAAAGTCATCTGACTTAGGGTCATCATAACATAACAGTGTTAAGATTGAACAACTAAACTTCGGTTTTCTGTGGGGGGAATTCAAGAAATCTTCCCCCTTGATTTTGATATTTCATTTTTTTTTCCGAATCGGTTTAGACATCATGCTTCCTTTGCGGATTTTGATTTAATCATACTGTCAAGTAATAATATGCCTCTTTTGGATTGGGTTATAACTTACTATGAAATGCACTTGAAATAGCTTCATATCATAATTGTTGAGAAATGTTGATTTGTATTTTTTCCAGTTCAATTGTTGACATGACATTATAATTGATGTCAGCAAGAGATAACATGTTTAAGAGAATTTCTCAAAATTAGTAAATCAACCAGACTGGTTTTAGTTGGTTCATCGAATTGAATTTCAGTGAAAATAAAAATACACAATAATGTCTCCATTTTTGTAATTTTCAGAATAAAGGTGTACAAGACCGAACGGGCGATGAACTGTCTGATGCGATCCAGCTGCAACCACAGCATGTCCGAGTTTACCTTAATCCCAATGGTATGGTAACATTTACCCCAATCCAACCTGCTGGCGAGGAGACATTTACCTTGTACCCACAAGTCATGTTAAATTTAGCTCATTTTCACTACAAACTTAATTATACACTTACCTCAAACTCAATGGTATGGTAACATTGATCTCAATCTGACTGCAAAACTCCCATTTACCTCAGTCCTACTGGCAAATATTTACTTAAAGTCTAATAGTATCGTAACCTTACCTAATTACCACTCTTAGGTTTATATTTCCCACACATCCCATGGAAACATTACCGTCATACTTATCCTACTGTTAAGAGTATTTAGCCTCCTCCCAATGCTAAGTTTAAACTGAATAGGCTACATCTACATTTTACCTCTGTCAATTAGCCTCTGCCCACAATTACTTTCACTTAATGTTCTTCCAAAAAAACCGCACCATTTTGCTTTAATTTTGCTCATGACGAGATCCTAACAGATTTTTTTTTCAATTATTCAACACACATTTGTGGCGAGCTGGAAATCGATCTTGAGACATTTTCGCGAGATAATTTTAGTCATGCCAACATAATTCTGTGAATTATGATATGACCCTAAATATCACGCTCAGGTGCCCGAAAAAATATACTATGAACTTTCGCTAATAATTTTTTTTACACAAACTTATCAATGTCTCAATCATCCTCGATATCCAGGGGTTACGCTCACTTTCGTTCTCTACACCCCTGGAATATATGGATGGATCTCAATAAACAGAGAAAAACAACAGGTGTTTCATTTTGGATAAATTTCATTTCCTTCACACAAATAATTGAAAAATATTTCTATAACGATCCAAAAACCAAAAACAGTGCATTGAATTTGTGTACAGTGAATCGGAAGCATTTTCTCTGTTCTGAGACTATATGACCCATTATCAAATTTACATTTACCTCAAATCCGCCGGTACGGTAGCTTCTACTCAAATTCCATTGAAAGGTAATATGTAATTCAATCGAAGTGGTATTGTAACATTGACCTTAGTCCGAACTCAAGGTTTATATTGCCTCACACCCTTTCGCAGATTACGATCACTGCAATCCCACTGTTATGGCAAATTTACCTCATTCCCACTGGTAAGATAAGATTATCCTCAATCCAAGCGAAAAGCCACATAGATCAGTCCTAATGTTGCGGTTTCATTTACCTCTGTCTTACTGGTGCGGTCACTGATCTGGTCGCATTATTATTATTATCACAGTGTATATTTTCCTTATTATTTAAGACAAGAGAGATATTATCTGAAAGACATTGTTTATATATCTACTGTTTTGTTCAGTACACACTTGATTGTTTATTACAGACGATATGTTTACATGGAATATAACATACCGTGTGGCCCGGAACTACCCTGTCGATCTGTACTTCCTGGCGGACCCGTCCAACACCATGATCGCATTCCGAGATGCTCTAGCCGCACTGGCTGGAGAGATAGGTAGGTTTAAATTAGTGCATACTTGCCAACTCTCTGAAATTTCTATGAGGGAGATTGCACTTGCTCAGAATTAAAAGCATACACTGTACAGAAAATGTGAGTACAATTCCCGCAGGTAATGAATTACACTTTTAAATAACATTTTTAGAGCTAACTATATATTCCAGTATTCAGGTGTCATTCATATCAGCTATGAATCATGGCCTGATTATTGATGTCATCATTATTATGACGTCATAATTGTAACGTTGGTTACCTCTGCCCCGCTCTGGACAGGCTATTGCATATATTATACCAACACCATTTTCGGCTTAATGCTGAATTTTGAAAAGTTCCCATTTCTGAATGAAATTTACGTATTCAAACAGCTTTCAGTTGGCATTCATAAGCAATGTGAATGCCAGCTTGACAAAGACTAATTCAACATGAAGTGATAGCAAATTTTGTAATGGAATCTCTGTAAAACACAATGTCAGTTTATCACATCCATTGGTCCAACAAGCATTTTACGATACAACACAGGTAAATTTGTTGATCTGTGGCTATTTTTGGGATTGGTTATATAAATACAAAGATCCTTTCATCATCGATTGAGTACTGCCTTACTTCATAAGGCTTCCAAGTTATTTTTTAGGCAATTAATGTTTTAGCAAATGCTATTGATGACAAAATTAATAGAGCCTGGCAGGGCTTTATATGTAACTTTGTCAGCAATGGAAATGTGTGTTATAGGACCATAACATTATTTGCTAAAATATTCATAATCATTAGTTATCTATATTTCATCTTGGTAGAGTATAGTTATGCTTTATTTAGTTATTTCGAACAGTTTTTTGAACAGCAATTTAAGTGTTGACAATAATGAAATTGATGACGTAACAAAGGAGATTGATGACGTAACGAAGGAGATTGATGATGTTACAAAGCAGTTGTAAATGTTTTACGCTGTACTCCTAATTGGCCTTCCTCATAGGTGGAATTTATTCTTGTGCCACCGACATTAAAAAAAACTAGTTTAAAAGTAATCTTTCTGTTGTAATCAAAACTTGTACATTTGTCAAGTTACCAACGGTTTTATTGGCTGTTGACCTTTCGGTAATCCTCTACATATGCTTTGGAACACTGACGCCATTTTTTATTTCTTTGAACTTTAGTACCACAGACAAGGTTTTACTATGGACGAAATGACCATATGGTGCAGTAACTGTTCGTTGTGTTTGGCCCTCTGTTTAAAATAGGTGCCTCTTAACTTTACTTTATATCCATGATTAATCTTTTTGGTGGACTCTGCTGGTCGACTATCAAAATTGTGGCTGGAATTCTTTATGGTATGGATGACAAAAAGTATTATTTTCAATATCAGTAACTGTTGTTGTTGTCAAAATACTAAATTGTAAAATCGGTGTCTTCTCATTAGATATTTTTTAGGAATTATTATAAGTTGAGTAAATGATCTAAACTACGTTTGCTATCCAGTATAAACCAAAGGATTTATAAATATTGGTGTTTAGTCTTAACAATTATCACGTTTGTTTAGTCGCCAAGTTTTGCCGTAAGCTGGATGGCCGAGTTGTCTTTTTTCAGGAGTGGCGCGGTTCATAATGTACACACTTCCATTTAAAAAAAAAAATGGAAATAGGTTAGTTCTCCTCTTAACTTGACAATTAGTAAATTAAGAGGTTTCACACCCTTCCCTTGGCACCAGTTTGGATAGTTGTGGACCCTAGCATCACCGATAAGTCTGAAAAGGACAGCTATATGATGCAGAGTTATTTAATTTTGGAGTACTGTATATATTATTAAACCTTAATGGTACACTCATCTGTGTTTGTATGTTATGATTGTCCCTCATATCATTAATTTGTTAACTGTGTAACTAATACCCATCTATTCTGTGTTGTATATTTTCTAGGCATAGCGGTAGGGAACATGACACAGGACTACAGATTCGGTTATGGAACAGCAATGGAAAAAGAACTTTTACCATTCACCCACTCCTCCCCAAAACAGTATGTGTTTTCCATTTACCCAATTCTCACCAAAACATTATATGTTTTCCATTTACCCAATTCTTACCAAACCATTTTGTGTTTTCTATTTACCCTCTGCTCCCAAAACATTTTTTGTTTGTAATTCTTTATATATAACACTAATAACATTTAAAATGTATACTAATCAGCACGCTCACTCGTCTATATTCTTTTAACAAAAAGCTGGTCATCAATTTAAAATTAGATCCCGCTACCAGGAATATTTTTAGCTCTTGCCATGGCGCAGTTTGGTCGTCCGTCTTCCGTCCGTCAACTTTTCCTTTGAAACGCTACTTGTCCTGAACAGCTTAGTGGTTTTTAACTAAATTTGGTCTGTAGCATCTTTGAGCCAAGGGTACTCGATTTTGTATAAACAGTGGGTGTAGCCTCCCTGGGGGCACAGGATCGGGGCCCAAAAGGGGAAATAGAGGTAAAACCTTTAAAATCCTTCTTCTACCATAGGGATTAAGGGATTTTACCCTTATTTAGTCTGAAGCATCCTGAGGCCAAGGACACTCATTTTTCTTTAAAAGGTGGATGTGCCCCCCTAGGGGCAGAGGAGCTGGGTCCAATAGGGGAAATAGAGGTAAAACATTTAAAATCCTTCTCCTACCGTAGGGATAAAGAATTTTATCCTAATTTAGTCTAAAGCATCCTTAGGCCAAGGGGACTCAGAGAGGTGGGTCCGAATATGGAAAATAGAGGTAAACCTTTAATTTTTAGGTCACCTGAGCTTTGCTCAAGTGACCTATTCTAATCGCTTTCCGTCCGTCATCGTGCGTTATGCGTAAACATTTTACATTTTCATCTTCTTCTCAAGAACCAGTGGATGGATTTTTTTCAAACTTAGTCAGAATCATCCTTGGTAAATGAGGCTACAAAATTGTAAAATTGGAATTCCTACCCCAACACCTGGGGCGAGGGCGAAGGGAAAATTAACCAATATTTCAAAAATCTTCTCCAGACACAGAGGTACTACATTCAATTTCAGTGCATAAAAAGAAAGATCAACAGGGGAGCGGGTAAAGTTTACTATAGTTTATATAGGGAAATAACAGCTTTGGGTATATTTTATCCATTTTCAGCAGAAAATTACTCAAACTTAGTCAGAATCTTCTTTGGTGAATGAGGGTATTACATTGTAAAATAAGGATTCTTGCCCGGTCCCCAGGGGCTAGTGCGGGGCCCCAAAGGGAACATTTACCAATATTTTCAAATTCTTATCCTTTGATGACATGCCAAGTATTGTATTTCACTTAGTTTACATGCTGATTTCCATATCACATCTAAACCCAATTTTGTCAACATCAAGTTGTCTAGCAATGCCTGTTACTGTTAGGCTGTATTCATTAAGAGAAGATGGCCACCAGGCCACCATCTTGGATTTTGACGTTTGAAGTTTGTTCTCGCTATATCCAGAAATACTGGATGGATTTTTCTGAAATGTATATGAACATACAGTACTTACCATGGAGTGCTATATCTTTACCTCATATCAAGTACTTTAAACATATCCAGGTGAGCGATACAGGTCCTATTGGCCTCTTGTTTAGATATTCAGATCGATATACAGGAGTAGCAGACTGTGATTTAATTATAAATTAAGTTTATTTATTGATTTAAGATATTCCAAGTCATGTCATAGCGAATTGTTAAATTAACTGAGAGCTTTTCCGTTTTTTAAACTCATTTAATTTAACTGATATAGTAGAGGAAGAATCTTCTGATTTATAACTTGAATTATGCACGAGTTTTGTGTACAATTTACCAAGTGATCTGATGTTTAAAAAAATCGAGACGAGCCTCCCAGAACACTTAGCGTGTATCATGTCACCCTGTCTTCCCCAAACACTGAGTGTTCACCATTCACCCACTACTCCCAAAACAGTGGGTGTTTACCATTCACCCACTACTCCCCAAACACTGAGTGTTCACCATTCACCCACTACCCACCAAACAGTAGTAAGGGGTACCATTCAACCACTCCTCCCCATACAGTGGGTGTTTTCCAATCATCTACTACTCCCAAAACAGTAGGTGTTTACCATTCACCCACTCCTCCCCAAACACTGAGTGTTTACCATTCACCAACTCCTCCCCAAACAGTAGGAGTTTTCCAATCATCTACTACTCCCAAAACCGTAGGTGTTTACCATTCACCCTCTACTCACCAAACAGTGGGTGTTTACCATTCACCCACTACTCCCCAAACACTGAGTGTTTACCATTCACCAACTCCTCCCCAAACAGTAGGAGTTTTCCAATCATCTACTACTCCCAAAACAGTAGGTGTTTACCATTCACCCACTACTCCCCAAACAATGGGTGTTTACCATTCACCCACTACTCCCCAAACACTGAGTGTTCACCATTCACCCACTACTCCCCTAACAGTAGGTGTTTACCATTCACCAACTACTCCCCTAACAGTAGGTGTTTACCATTCACCCACTACTCCCCTAACAGTAGGTGTTTACCATTCACCCACTACTCCCCTAACAGTAGGTGTTTACCATTCACCCACTACTCCCCTAACAGTAGGTGTTTACCATTCACCCACTACTCCCCTAACAGTAGGTGTTTACCATTCACCCACTACTCCCCTAACAGTAGGTGTTTACCATTCACCCACTACTCCCCTAACAGTAGGTGTTTACCATTCACCCACTACTCCCCTAACAGTAGGTGTTTACCATTCACCCACTACTCCCCTAACAGTAGGTGTTTACCATTCACCCACTACTCCCCTAACAGTAGGTGTTTACCATTCACCCACTACTCCCCTAACAGTAGGTGTTTACCATTCACCCACTACTCCCCTAACAGTAGGTGTTTACCATTCACCCACTACTCCCCTAACAGTAGGTGTTTACCATTCACCCACTACTCCCCTAACAGTAGGTGTTTACCATTCACCCACTACTCCCCTAACAGTAGGTGTTTACCATTCACCCACTACTCCCCTAACAGTAGGTGTTTACCATTCACCCACTACTCCCCTAACAGTAGGTGTTTACCATTCACCCACTACTCCCCTAACAGTAGGTGTTTACCATTCACCCACTACTCCCCTAACAGTAGGTGTTTACCATTCACCCACTACTCCCCTAACAGTAGGTGTTTACCATTCACCCACTACTCCCCTAACAGTAGGTGTTTACCATTCACCCACTACTCCCCTAACAGTAGGTGTTTACCATTCACCCACTACTCCCCTAACAGTAGGTGTTTACCATTCACCCACTACTCCCCTAACAGTAGGTGTTTACCATTCACCCACTACTCCCCTAACAGTAGGTGTTTACCATTCACCCACTACTCCCCTAACAGTAGGTGTTTACCATTCACCCACTACTCCCCTAACAGTAGGTGTTTACCATTCACCCACTACTCCCCTAACAGTAGGTGTTTACCATTCACCCACTACTCCCCTAACAGTAGGTGTTTACCATTCACCCACTACTCCCCTAACAGTAGGTGTTTACCATTCACCCACTACTCCCCTAACAGTAGGTGTTTACCATTCACCCACTACTCCCCTAACAGTAGGTGTTTACCATTCACCCACTACTCCCCTAACAGTAGGTGTTTACCATTCACCCACTACTCCCCTAACAGTAGGTGTTTACCATTCACCCACTACTCCCCTAACAGTAGGTGTTTACCATTCACCCACTACTCCCCTAACAGTAGGTGTTTACCATTCACCCACTACTCCCCTAACAGTAGGTGTTTACCATTCACCCACTACTCCCCTAACAGTAGGTGTTTACCATTCACCCACTACTCCCCTAACAGTAGGTGTTTACCATTCACCCACTACTCCCCTAACAGTAGGTGTTTACCATTCACCCACTACTCCCCTAACAGTAGGTGTTTACCATTCACCCACTACTCCCCTAACAGTAGGTGTTTACCATTCACCCACTACTCCCCTAACAGTAGGTGTTTACCATTCACCCACTACTCCCCTAACAGTAGGTGTTTACCATTCACCCACTACTCCCCTAACAGTAGGTGTTTACCATTCACCCACTACTCCCCTAACAGTAGGTGTTTACCATTCACCCACTACTCCCCTAACAGTAGGTGTTTACCATTCACCCACTACTCCCCTAACAGTAGGTGTTTACCATTCACCCACTACTCCCCTAACAGTAGGTGTTTACCATTCACCCACTACTCCCCTAACAGTAGGTGTTTACCATTCACCCACTACTCCCCTAACAGTAGGTGTTTACCATTCACCCACTACTCCCCTAACAGTAGGTGTTTACCATTCACCCACTACTCCCCTAACAGTAGGTGTTTACCATTCACCCACTACTCCCCTAACAGTAGGTGTTTACCATTCACCCACTACTCCCCTAACAGTAGGTGTTTACCATTCACCCACTACTCCCCTAACAGTAGGTGTTTACCATTCACCCACTACTCCCCTAACAGTAGGTGTTTACCATTCACCCACTACTCCCCTAACAGTAGGTGTTTACCATTCACCCACTACTCCACAAACACTGAGTGTATACCATTCACCCACTACTCCCCTAACAGTAGGTGTTTACCATTCACCCACTTCTCCCCAAACAGTAGGTGTTTACCATTCACCCTCTACTCCCCAAACAGAAGGTGTTTACCATTCACCCACTACTCCACAAACCCTGAGTGTTTACCATTCACCCACTACTCCCCTAACAGTGGGTGTTTACCATTCACCCACTACTCCACAAACACTGAGTGTTCACCATATACCCACTACTCCCCATACAGTAGGTGTTTACCATTTACACACTACTCCACAAACACTGAGTGTTTACCATTCACCCACTAGTCCCCTAACAGTAGGTGTTTACCATTCAGTTTTATGCAAATCGCGTTAGATATTTCTGCCGTTGCACATATATTGACCCTATATGTATGTAGGTGTTTACCATTCACCCACTACTCCCCTATCAGTAGTTGTTTACCATTCACCCACTACTCCACAAACACTGAGTGTTCACCATTTACCCACTACTCCCCATACAGTAGGGGTTTACCATTTACACACTACTCCACAAACACTGGGTGTTCACCATTCACCCACTACTCCCCATACAGTAGGTGTTTACCATTTACACACTACTCCACAAACACTGAGGGTTTACCATTCACCCACTACTCCCCTAACAGTGGGTGTTTACCATTCACCCACTACTCCACAAACCCTGAGTGTTTACCATTCACCCACTACTCCCCTAACTCCACAAACACTCAGTGTATACCATTCACCCACTACTCCCCTAACAGTAGTTGTTTACCATTCACCCACTACTCCCCTAACAGTAGTTGTTTACCATTCACCCACTACTCCACAAACAGTAGGTGTTTACCATTCACCCACTACTCCACAAACACTGAGTGTTTACCATTCACCCACTACTCCCCTAACAGTGGGTGTTTACCATTCACCCACTACTCCACAAACACTGAGTGTTCACCATTTACCCACTACTCCCCATACAGTAGGGGTTTACCATTTACACACTACTCCACAAACACTGAGTGTTTACCATTCACCCACTAGTCCCCTAACAGTAGGTGTTTACCATTCAGTTTTATGCAAATCGCGTTAGATATTTCTGCCGTTGCACATATATTGACCCTATATGTATGTAGGTGTTTACCATTCACCCACTACTCCCCTAACCGTAGGTGTTTACCATTCACCCACTACTCCCCTAACCGTAGGTGTTTACCATTCACCCACTACTCCCCTATCAGTAGTTGTTTACCATTCACCCACTACTCCACAAACACTGAGTGTTTACCATTCACCCACTAGTCCCCTAACAGTAGGTGTTTACCATTCAGTTTTATGCAAATCGCGTTAGATATTTCTGCCGTTGCACATATATTGACCCTATATGTATGTAGGTGTTTACCATTCACCCACTACTCCCCTAACTCCACAAACACTCAGTGTATACCATTCACCCACTACTCCCCTAACAGTAGTTGTTTACCATTCACCCACTACTCCCCTAACAGTGGGTGTTTACCATTCACCCACTACTCCCCAAACAGAAGGTGTTTACCATTCACCCACTACTCCACAAACCCTGAGTGTTTACCATTCACCCACTACTCCCCTAACTCCACAAACACTCAGTGTATACCATTCACCCACTACTCCCCTAACAGTAGGCGTTTACCATTCATCCCCCCTAACAGTAGGTGTTTACCATTCACCCACTATTCCCCTAACAGTAGGTGTTTACCATTCACCCACTATTCCCCTAAAAGTAGGTGTTTACCATTCACCCACTACTCCCCAAACAGTAGATGTTTACCATTCACCCACTACTCCCCTAACAGTAGTTGTTTACCATTCACCCACTACTCCACAAACAGTAGGTGTTTACCATTCACCCACTACGCCCCTAACAGTAGGTGTTTACCATTCACCCACTATTCCCCTAAAAGTAGGTGTTTACCATTCACCCACTACTCCCAAAAAAGTAGGGGTTTACCATTCACCCACTACTCCCCTAACTCCACAAACTCTGAGTGTATACCATTCACCCACTACTCCCCTAACAGTAGGCGTTTACCATTCATCCCCCCTAACAGTAGGTGTTTACCATTCACCCACTTCTCCCCAAACAGTAGGTGTTTACCATTCACCCACTACTCCCCTAACAGTAGGTGTTTACCATTCAGTTTTATGCAAATCGCGTTAGATATTTCTGCCGTTGCACATATATTGACCCTATATGTATGGGCCAATAAGATACATGATATGGTCGCAGATTAGTTCAGAAACAAAAGTAACATGTGAGCGATACATGCATGGCCTATGTGTCTCATTTGTTATATTTGCTAACCGTGGGTTAGAATTAATGTGCACCTCATCCTCAAATATCCTTTTCACTGTAAATACTAATCCGTTTGCCTTTTAGTTTAGAGGATCCCTGCTCGGACTTCGGGGGTTCCTGTGCTTCACCTTATGACTTCAAACATTCCATGAAACTGGCGAAAGACATTGATGAATTTGTGGTAAGTTTTTGCTTATTTTGACAAAAAACGGGTAAACTTATAATATATACTAATCATAATAGTTGTTTTTGTTGTGCGAAGGTATGTCAGTGATCGGTTGTGACATTTTTTGACGTCTTTAATTGACATATCACGTTTTAATTTTTTGGTGTCATTAATTGAGATATCAAGTTTTTAATTTCTGTGACGTCGTTGATTGACATATCATGTTTGATTTTTTTTGACGTCATTAATTGACATATCACGTATATGTTGAGAGTGAAGATTTGTCACTGTTGGAGTTTTTTTGTCAATGTATTTGTAAGAGTTACGTCCCTTTTAAATAATTATGTTTAATCGGTTACCAAGTAACGTTTACTTAAATGTACCGTGCCGCTCTCTTTATCAAAAGGATAATCTGGCATTGAATTTCTTACATAGGTAAAGTAATTAACGTTCCGTTAATACTACACTCAGGAAGTGGAACGTGTCAAAGTATAAAATTAAAAGGAATCTAACGTGGTCGACAAAGCAGATAGACAGAATTGGCAAGACATAGGTAGAAGCTTGAAGCAAATCGACGACACAGTAAAGCGAAAGTATATATCGATGAAGCCTTAGATAAATGGAATGCGCTTAACTCCTAAAAGTTTAACAGGTGGGAATCAAATCGGCTGATGTGACACTCAGTACATGTTTATTATGTAAGCATCACCTCTGACCAAGTCGGAGATATAGTCGCCATTCGTTGGATTTGTGTTTGCATGCGAATGACGTCAATATGGCCTCATATCAGCTTCTGGTGAGAGAAGTAGCCGACAGGAAAATATTCGCAAGCTTAACTTCACATGAATAGAAGTCATCGAAATCTTATATTTGTGAACCCAATACACTTTCAGTGTTTGGCATGGTAACTTTAAAGACCATTGAAAAGACAAGTTATCGAACTATCTTATACCATGTTGCACCCCACACATACATTACCGTATACCCTGGTGGTGGTATGAAAGTGGTATGCCTAATATAGGACTAGCATAATAGATAATAGATGCGCGACCGAGTTAAGCAACAATCCGCGAAGGTACTGTGGCAAGACACTGGCCCTTACCATAGGGCTGAGACTAGGACGTCAACTCGACGTGGGGCTTCAGGAAAACGTAGGTCATTATTCGGTGAAGTCATACGCTAGCCATATCTTAAGCTAACTAACTCATAGTGACGTTATTAACCGCATGCATTTGTTTAAACACTCACCAAGTGAACAAAGATTTTGGGATATTGTCGAGATTCGACCTTTGTTGTAGCTGTATCTGATGTAAACTGGAATAGTCTCACCAAAATCGGACAGGCAGGTTCTGGAATACGAAAACAAGAACTGTATTTTTGTGTAGTTTTATCAAAATCTCGGTCAGGTTTGTGATCACAGGCACAGAACAAAAATCGTGCATTGCTGACATTGATAAACCAGTGGACAAGCTTAACAGATATATAACAGTAATGTATGAGAAAGGATTCAAAACGTTTTATTAAACATTAAATGGTGTGATCTTTATCAACACAGGTACGACATCATAATGGCAACAAGAACTTCAGGTAAATTATTCCCTATCCTTTCAAACCTTTCTCGACTACAACATATGACAAGAGACTCCCTAAAATTGAAACTATGTATGTTGAAAAGCTTGTTGTTACAGTTACTGATGTTATGTTGTTATTACAGCGACAAGTGAAAGCCACTAATGACAGTGCCAACTACGACTCACCGGAGGGAGGATTCGACGGCTTGATGCAAGTGATGGTCTGCCCGGTAAGTGATTTCAACTGCAGTTAACTATGGTCAAATCAGAGAGTAACAATTATATTGGCTACTCGGTACGTAGCTACAACTAAGAACCTGATCTATAACGCTATACATAAACTTATATTCATCACAAATCATTATAAACAGCCTATCACGATTAATGCGATCTGCTTTTATCTGAATATTCATGTTATGTCAGGAGGGAATACTTATAGCATAATTCCAGTTTCAGATCGGAAAGAAAATGTACCTGTCATGCGTGTCAGCATTCTGACGTAACTTTAAACTACTTGTTGTTTCGTGACGCTTGTTGAGAGGGATAAAACATATACACACTTCAGTAGAAAATGTTAAACACAGACATACACCAAATGACCTCACCTGTACATAATTCTATATTATAGAAACTGATTGGCTGGAGGAACCGCTCTCGGCGTCTACTTATCTACGCCACTGACAGCGACTACCACTTCGCCGGCGATGGACGGGTAAGTACCACATCCGGGTCTGATGGGAGAGTGAATCATGTGTGACGGGGTTATATGTTTTATTTAATATGTGAGATGGTAATCTTGGTGATTGGCAGCTGTAACGTTATTAACACCAAAGCGAAAATGGCCTCTGCACAGTAAGGTATGAGAAATTCGTACCCTTAATTACAAGAGGTTTTCATAAATAAGTTTAGCTCTAAATAAGGCTGCGACGAGTGCGCTACAATAAAACATTTTCTGCATATTTTCGCATTTATAATATTGCTTATACAATATCGAAGTATCATTTATGTATTTGCAGCAATCATAATGCATACCCAAATTTCGAATTTGGCATACCGAAATATATTTTGGGTGCCTACTATTGATTTTGCAAAATGATGTTTGCGTACCAATGTTTTAATCTTGGGACTGGGGATAAGAGTTTTTATTGGTCAATCGTAGCATAAATTAATGAAGGCATTACATCGGCTATACCTATCGGTATTAAAAGAAGTGTCAACTTCTCTCCCTCTGGCAGTTGCTATTCGAATTTACGCTGGTGTGGTGATCATTACACATTTCTATCGAATGGTCGTTTTGAATATGTTCGCTATTGTAATTTACAGACATAACATTAGTAAAATGCCGCTCGCTCTTTATATAAAGATGTATATTTAAGACAGATTTAACAATAGTTCTTTGCAAAGGACCGGGAGCCTTGGTGGCCGAATGTGAACGACGTTTTACAGTCTACATTCACTTGCCCTCCACCACTGAGTCATGGGTTCGAGGCCTATGTTTGGTAGTCCTCAGATACTGGCCGCAGGTTTACCTGTTTACCACCAATACCCGAAACATGGCTCATCAATGACCATAGCTGTTAATAGGACGTCAAGCAAAAACGAATAAAAAAAGCCAATGACAAGGTCTGAGCAGTGACCTTGATTTAATAAGTATCAAACTCTTATATTTTCTACAGCTCGCAGGGATTGTGACGCCAAACGACGGAATGTGTCATACAGATCCTGTCACCAATTTGTACACCAAGTCACTAGAGCAGGTCTGTATACCAAGTCTCGTGATCAAGTCAGTACACCATGTCACAGGTCATCAGGCATACACATATACAGATTACAACAGTAATACATGTAACAAAAGATGTCTGCCCAATTGTAATGTCACGACGTTTTGCTTAGGAAGCATCACGCACATCTTTTAATTGGTTTTATATAATTTTATAATCTGATTCAAATAGTATGTTTTTTTCAGTGTCGAACCTGACAATATCACATCAAGCGCCATGTTCCAACGTTTCTCGTCTTTCTCCTGTGTGTTATGTACTACACACGTGTATTAACTGTATGTAAAACATATGTGCATCGTTATTATTTTGTACCTTTTACGCATCAACTGCAGGTTAAATACACATTCATATTTACGTTTCTAGGATTATCCGTCCGTCGGTCAGATCAAAGAGAAAGTCAAAGAAAACAAAATAATCCTCCTGTTTACCGTCGGAAGGACAGCCTTTAATGCCTATAATAAGGTTGTTAAAGAAATCGGGCAACAGTCCAGCGCACAGGAACTCAATCTGAGGGATTCTTCCAACATCACACGGATCATACAGGACACATACAGGGTAGGTCTAGCAAACACGGATCATACATGACACGTACAGCGTAGTTCTAACAAACACTGATCTAACAAACACAGATCATACAGGACAAATACAGGGTAGGTCTAGCAAACACGGATCATACAGGACACGTACAGCGTAGTTCTAACAAACACTGATCATACATGACACGTACAGGGTGGGTCTAACAAACACAGATCATACAGGACACGTACAGGGTAGGTCTAGCAAACACGGATCATACATGACACGTACAGCGTAGTTCTAACAAACACTGATCATACAGGACACATACAGGGTAGGTCTGACAAACAAGGATCATACAGGATACGTACAGGGTAGGTCTGGCAAACAAGGATCATACATGACACGTACAGGCCGGGTAGGTCTAACAAACACGGATTATACAGGATAGGTATAGGGTAGGTCTAACAAACACTGATCATACAGGACACGTACAAGCCGGGTAGGTCTACCAAACACGGATATACATGACACGTACAGAGTAGGTCTAACAAACACGGATCATACAGGACACGTACAGGGTAGGTCTAGCAAACACAGATCATACAGGACAAATACGGGTTACGTCTAGCAAACACGGATCATACAGGACACGGACAGGGTAGGTCTAACAAACACTGATCATACAGAACACATACAGGGTAGGTCTAGCAAGCACTGATCATACAGGACACGAACAGGGAAGGTCTAACAAACACTGATCATACAGGACACATACAGGGTAGGTCTAGCAAACACAGATCATACAGGACAAATACGGGGTACGTCTAGCAAACACGGATCATACAGGACACGAACAGGGTAGGTCTAACAAACACGGATCATACATGACACGGACAGGGTAGGTCTAACAAACACTGATCATACAGGACACATACAGGGTAGGGCGGACAAACACGGATCATACAGGACACGTACAGGGTAGGTCTAACAAACACTGATCATACAGGACACATACAGGGTAGGTCGGACAAACACGGATCATACAGGACACGTACAGGCCGGGTAGGTCTAAAAAACACAAATCATACAGGACAAATACAGGGTAGGTCTAGCAAACACGGATCATACAGGACACGTACAGGGTAGGTCTAACAAACACGGATCATACAGGACACGTATAGGGTAGGTCTGACAAACAAGGATAATACAGGACACGTACAGGGTAGGTCGGACAAACACGGATCATACATGACACGTACAGGCCGGGTAGGTCTAACAAACACTGATCATACAGGACACGTATAGGGTAGGTCTACCAAACACGGACCATACATGACAGGTGCAGGGTAGGTCTAACAAATACGGATCATACAGGACACGTATAGGGTATGGCTGACAAACACGGATCATACAGGACACGTACAGGGTAGGTCTGACAAACACGGATCATACAGGACACGTATAGGGTATGTCTGACAAACACGGATCATACAGGACACGTACAGGGTAGGTCTAACAAACAAGGATCATACAGGACACGTACAGGGTAGGTCTAGCAAACACGGATCATACAGGACACGTACAGCGTAGTTCTAACAAACACTGATCATACATGACACGTACAGGGTGGGTCTAACAAACACAGATCATACAGGACACGTATAGGGTAGGTCTAGCGATCATACAGGACACGTACAGGGTAGGTCTAGCAAACACTGAACATACAGGACACATACAGGGTAGGTCTAACAAACACGGATCATAGAGGACACGTACAGGGTAGGTCTAACAAACACGGATCATACAGGACCCGTACAGGGTAGGTCTAACAAACACTGATCATACAGGACCCGTACAGGGTAGGTCTAACAAACACTGAACATACAGGACACGTATAGGGTAGGTCTAACAAACAAGGATAATACAGGACACGTACAGGGTAGGCCGGACAAACACGGATCATACATGACACGTACAGGCCGGGGAGGTCTAACAAACACTGATCATACAGGACACGTACACATACAGGGTAGGTCTAGCAAACACGGATCATACAGGACACGTACAGGGTAGGTCGGACAAACACGGATCATACATGACACGTACAGGCCGGGTAGGTCTAACAAACGCTGATCATACAGGACACGTACAGGGTAGGTCTAGCAAACACTGAACATACAGGACACATACAGGGTAGGTCTAACAAACACGGATCATACAGGACACGTATAGGGTAGGTCTGACAAACAAGGATCATACAGGGCACGTACAGGCCGGGTAGGTCTAACAAACACTGATCATACAGGACACGTACAGGCCGGGTAGGTCTACCAAACACGGACCATACATGACAGGTACAGGGTAGGTCTAACAAATACGGATCATACAGGACACGTATAGGGTATGTCTGACAAACACGGATCATACAGGACACGTACAGGGTAGGTCTAGCAAACACTGATCATACAGGACACATACAGGGTAGGTCTAACAAACACGGATCATCCAGGACACGAACAGGGCAGGCCTGACAAACACGGATCATACAGGACACGTACAGGGTAGGTCTAACAAACACGGATCATACATGACAGGTACAGGGTGGGTCTAACAAACACGGATCATACAGAACACATACAGGGTAGTTCTAACAAACACGGATTATACAGGACACGTACAGGGTAGGTCTGACAAACACGGATCATACAGGACACGTATAGGGTAGGTCTAACAAACACTGATCATACAGGACACGTATAGGGTATGTCTGACAAACACGGATCATACAGGACACGTACATGGTAGGTCTAACAAACACGGATCATACAGTAGGGTAGGTCTAACAAACACTGATCATACAGGACACATACAGGGTAGGTCTAGCAAACACTGATCATACAGGACACATACAGGGTAGGTCTAACAAACACTAATCATACAGGACACGTACAGGCCTGGTAGGTCTACCAAACACGGACCATACATACAAACACTGATCATACAGGACACGTACAGGCCGGGTAGGTCTACCAAACACGGATCATACATGACACGTACAGGGTAGGTCTAACAATACAGGACACGTATAGGGTAGGTCTAGCAAACACGGATCATACAGGACACGTATAGGGTAGGTCTAGCAAACACGGATCATACAGGACACGTATAGGGTATGTCTGACAAACACGGATCATACAGGACACGAACAGGGTAGGTCTAACAAATACGGATCATACAGGACACGTATAGGGTATGTCTGACAAACACGGATCATACAGGACACGAACAGGGTAGGTCTAACAAACACTGATCATACAGGACACATACAGGGTAGGTCTAACAAACACGGATCATACAGAACACATACAGGGTAGTTCTAACAAACACGGATTATACTGGATAGGTAGAGGGTATGTCTAACAAACACGGATCATACAGGATAGGTAGAGGGTAAGTCTAACAAACACGGATCGTACAGAACACATACAGGGTAGGTATAACAAACACGGATCGTACAAGACATGTACAGTGTCTTACACTCAAACACGATCAGATAGGACACACACAGGGCATGTCTAACACTCACCTTCCAGATACTATTTTCGTAAATTATTGTCTGTAGTACTCTGATCTCGTAACTCACCTTTTCAGACAATTAGGGAAAGTGTCAAGATCCTGGTTGAGGAACGAGATGATATCTATTACGAACTGAGATCTAATTGTGGATCAGGGTAAGTGACAGATTTGGTAAGACTAAGTAAATAAAAAACCAGATCAGACTAAGTGATAGCAAACCAAGTCAGACCGAGTGATAATAAACCAGGTCAGCCTAAGTGATAATAAACCGGGTCAGACTCAGTGATAACAAACCAGGTCAGACTAAGTGATAATAAACCGGGTCAGACAAAGTGATAACAAATAAGGTCAGACTGAGTGATAACAAACCAGGTCAGACACAGTGATACCAAACCAAGTCCGACTAAGTGATAACAAACCAGGTCCGAGTTATCGAAAACAAACCAGGTCAGACTAAGTGATAATAAACCGGGTCAGACTAAGTGATAACAAATAAGGTCAGACTGAGTGATAATAAACCAAGTCAGACAACGTGATAACAAACCAGATCAGACTGAGTGATAAAAACCGGGTCAGACTAAGTGATAACAAACCAGGTCAGACTAAGTGATAATAAACCGGGTCAGACTGAGTGATAAAAAACCAGGTCAGACTGAATGAAAACAAACCAAGGCAGACTGCGTGATGACAAACCAGGTCAGACAAAGTGATACCAAACCAAGTCCGACTAAGTGATAACAAACCAGGTCAGACTAAGTGATAACAAACCAGGTCAGACTGAGTGATAAAAAACCAGGTCAGACTGAGTGATAAAAAACCAGGTCAGACTCAGTGATAACAAACCGGATCAGACTAAGTGATAATAAACCGGGTCAGACTCAGTGATAACAAACCAGATCAGACCGAGTGATAAAAACCAGATCAGACTAAGTCATACTAAACCGGGTCAGACTGAGTGATAACAAACCAGATCAGACTGAGTGATAAAAACCAGGTAAGACTGAGTGATAACAAACCAAGTAAGACTAAGTGATAACAAACCAGATCAGACTAAGTGATAATAAACCAGGTCCGACTGAGAATGAGGCTCAATGTAAGCTGGTGTAGACTGTCGATGATGAATTCATGCATAACGTAGATAACCTAGTAACTAGTCGCCAATATTCTTGTTTCCAAACTTTTGAAAGCCACTGGACAGAGTATTGAGTACTATTATTTAAACATATTATTGTATAAATGTTAGTTTACAAACATGTATATCTGATGAATTGTCCATACTAGTGGAACACCTGACAAAGGAAATATGTCCCCGATATGTATTGGAAAACAGGAAGTATGTCCCCTAAAATCAATTTTAAAGCGAAATTTTGTCTTCTTAGTAGACATTTTTTGTAAAGAAAATCTGCCAATACACCTAGGCATCTTCCGCATAACATGTCGATCATTGCCACATTGGATTATTTGCATAAGAGTTCTCCAGTCCAACAAACCTTCTGACAGCGGGAATAGCATGCGTCTCAGGAGACAATGTAGTCTAATGGTAGGACGCCGGGCTCGTGATCGAAGGGTTGCGGATTCGAGTCACGGCACGGCACGTGATGTGTCTTTGAGCAAGATACTTTACTCCCCTTGTTCCAGTCTACTCAGCTGTAAATGAGTTTGTGGTTGGGCAGTGCTAGAATGGTTGAATGCTACCTGTGAGCGCCGAAATGGCAGCACCGGCTGTTTGCTCCCCAGGGAGTAGAGAAAGATATTGACTGGTTGCAAAGGCCCTATAACCAAGGATAATAATTTGTGAACCGCTTTTAGACGACCTACGAACTAAGTTGTGATAAAGCGGTTGGTAAGAACCTCGAATTATCATTATTATCAATAAATCCTGTTATGTTTGTAAACGACTGTCGCCACTCAAGTCCATAGAAAAGCATGGGTTATGAAGAGTTATGAAGTGTATGCTTTATTTAGTTTAGAACCGAGCTCTTCAGCACCTCTATTAGAATCTGAGAAATGAGGTGAAATTTGTCCATGTTTATGTCAGAGTGAACTACCATTACGCAGTGTCATTTTATTTCATACAAACATTAAAAACAAAAAGTCAATCCTTTTAAGAAAACATTTGTCGAACTTTGATGGATTGAATACCCTTATAACTGTGACAGATCTATGTTTATTCCCCGAATGGCATAATATTCTTGCATATACATGTAGATTTATTCATTAAATCTATGAGTGTTTAATAACTTGATATTTGTATAATATTCCAGAAGTGACATTCTCCAGGAACAAAGTAGCTGCGATAGAGTTGGAGTAGGGAAACCGGTAAGTTTTATAATCACTCAGAGGTAGGTGGAAAGTAAAATCTGTCTTACATTCAGAGACAAGATTGGGGCAGGAAGACAATATTTCACTCAGAGGTAGGTGGGTAGTTAAGTCAGTGTTACATTCAGAGACAAGATTGGGGCAGGAAGACAATATTTCACTCAGAGGAAGGTGGGTAGTTAAGTCAGTGTTACATTCAGACAGGATTGGGGCAGGAAGACAATATTTCACTCAGAGGTAGGTGGGTAGTTAAGTCAGTGTTACATTCAGACAGGATTGGGGCAGGAAGACAATATTTCACTCAGAGGTAGGTGGGTAGTTAAGTCAGTGTTACATTCAGACAGGATTGGGGCAGGAAGACAATATTTCACTCAGAGGTAGGTGGGTAGTTAAGTCAGTGTTACATTCAGACAGGATTGGGGCAGGAAGACAATATTTCACTCAGAGGTAGGTGGGTAGTTAAGTCAGTGTTACATTCAGACAGGATTGGGGCAGGAAGACAATATTTCACTCAGAGGTAGGTGGGTAGTTAAGTCAGTGTTACATTCAGACAGGATTGGGGCAGGAAGACAATATTTCACTCAGAGGTAGGTGGGTAGTTAAGTCAGTGTTACATTCAGAGACAGATTCGGACAGACTATTTCTGTTTAGGGCAGGATTGAAGAAGAAAAGCGGTGTTTCTGTCTGAGACCAGATAGAGGTTGGAAAGCTGGTGTTGCTATCCGAGGAAGAATTCGTTAAGTAGAGTTGGTGTTAAATTCAGGGGAATTATGAGAGTAGGGAAGTCTGTGTATCTGCCAGAGACTGGGTTTGAAGCAGGCATAGTTGATTACAGACTTTATACTTTTGGTTTGAATTCTGCATCTTCACAAAAGCTAATGTCCTTTTTGGACGGTGTTATACTCCGTCTCTTTCAGTCTAACATACCATCCTTCACACAATTCAGTCTATTATACCATCTGTCACACAATTCAGTCTAACATACCATCTGTCACACAATTCAGTCTAACATACCATCTGTCACACAATTCAGTCTAACATACCATCTGTCACACAACTCAGTCTGACATACCATATTTCACACAACTCAGTCTGACATACCATATTTCACACAATTCAGTCTAACATACCATCTGTCACACAATTCAGTCTGACATACCATCTTACACACAATTCCAGATAGTCTTTGAAATAAAGATGCGTTACAAAGGCACAGCGTGTCCCAGTGACCCCAACCAATGGACGGAGAGCTTAAAAATCAATCCGGAAGGTCTGAAGGATGAACTGATGGTGGACGTTGTCTACAACTGTCAGTGTGACTGTCAACTCCCTGGTCAAGCGGTCAGTATATGGGTCTACCTGATATAAGCTGTCATTGTTCACATGTTTCGAAATATATGAAAGATGAAAGAAGGTCAATTAGATGTAAATGTCATTATCTTATTCGTCGCAATATTCAATTTGCTACAAAATACAAGAAATCTCGTTCCAAATCCTCATTTTTTGAACATTCCGTGGTAGATAACCATAAAAAAGTGACTGTTGCACTATCTAAAAAGGAAGTTGCTCATCTATATTAAGCATTTATTTCCATGGTAATTTCTTTCCTGAGGGGGCCGAATCAGAGTCAATTTTTCACTTTAACTTAGGTTTTTTCGATATTATCGTTACTATAAAATGTAATCCAAAGTGAGAATATTGGCATTATGAAAATAATACCTTGATATTTCATTGTCCTACTGCAGACTTTTTCAGCCGAACGATGTTATTCCCTGGTATACCATGTCAAAGAAATAAAGGGAAGAATACGAGTAAATACAATCAGCAGCGCTGGTCCTTAATGATCGCCTTCGATCTAAAATAATGACTCCCAACAGGTCCACTTCATCCATTTATTATCACAGTGACTCCGGCCGACCTCTCTGTAATTCTTATTGACTATATATATCCATATAATAGATAGGTAACTCCGGACTCATCCCGTGAGTTGATGAATATTGCCTCCCGACATTTATACCTCAATGTAGGATGAGTGACTGTAGATTTACTCTAAATGTCTATAATAATAAAGGACCAGTTTAGTCACCTATGATAACGTTTTTGTGTATTTCAGGAAGAGAACAGCACTAAGTGTAACGGTTTTGGAACCTTTGAGTGCGGGGTATGTACATGTTATGAGGGCTGGTCAGGAGATAATTGCACCTGTGACGAGAGACAGACGGATATAGAGGCTTGCTCACCAAGGTACGTATCATAGCCCTAACATTGAAATAGAGGCGTGCTCCCCAAGGTACGTATCATATCCCTAACATTGAAATAGAGGCGTGCTTACCAATGTACGTATCATAGCCCTGACATTGAAATAGAGGCGTGCTTACCAATGTACGTATCATAGCCCTAACATTGAAATAGAGGTGTGCTTACCAAGGTACGTATCATATCCCTAACATTGAAATAGAGGCGTGCTCACCAAGGTACGTATCATAGCCCTAACATTGAAATAGAGGCGTGCTCACCAAGGTACATATCATATCCCTAACATTGAAATAGAGGCGTGCTCACCAAGGTACATATCATATCCCTAACATTGAAATAGAGGCATGCTCACCAAGGTACATATCATATCCCTAACATTGAAATAGAGGCGTGCTTACCAATGTACGTATCATATCCCTAACATTGAAATAGAGGCGTGCTCACCAAGGTACGTATCATATCCCTAACATTGAAATAGAGGCGTGCTCACCAAGGTACATATCATATCCCTAACATTGAAATAGAGGCATGCTCACCAAGGTACATATCATATCCCTAACATTGAAATAGAGGCGTGCTTACCAATGTACGTATCATATCCCTAACATTGAAATAGAGGCGTGCTCACCAAGGTACGTATCATATCCCTAACATTGAAATAGAGGCGTGCTCACCAAGGTACATATCATATCCCTAACATTGAAATAGAGGCATGCTCACCAAGGTACATATCATATCCCTAACATTGAAATAGAGGCGTGCTTACCAATGTACGTATCATATCCCTAACATTGAAATAGAGGCGTGCTCACCAAGGTACGTATCATATCCCTAACATTGAAATAGAGGCGTGCTCACCAAGGTACATATCATATCCCTAACATTGAAATAGAGGCATGCTCACCAAGGTACATATCATATCCCTAACATTGAAATAGAGGCGTGCTTACCAATGTACGTATCATATCCCTAACATTGAAATAGAGGCGTGCTCACCAAGGTACGTATCATATCCCTAACATTGAAATAGAGGCGTGCTCACCAAGGTACGTATCATATCCCTAACATTGAAATAGAGGCGTGCTCACCAAGGTACGTATCATATCCCTAACATTGAAATAGAGGCGTGCTCACCAAGGTACATATCATATCCCTAACATTGAAATAGAGGCATGCTCACCAAGGTACATATCATATCCCTAACATTGAAATAGAGGCGTGCTTACCAATGTACGTATCATATCCCTAACATTGAAATAGAGGCGTGCTTACCAATGTACGTATCATATCCCTAACATTGAAATAGAGGCGTGCTCACCAAGGTACGTATCATATCCCTAACATTGAAATAGAGGCGTGCTCACCAATGTACGTATCATATCCCTAACATTGAAATAGAGGCGTGCTTACCAATGTACGTATCATATCCCTAACATTGAAATAGAGGCGTGCTCACCAAGGTACGTATCATATCCCTAACATTGAAATAGAGGCGTGCTCACCAAGGTACATATCATATCCCTAACATTGAAATAGAGGCATGCTCACCAAGGTACATATCATATCCCTAACATTGAAATAGAGGCGTGCTTACCAATGTACGTATCATATCCCTAACATTGAAATAGAGGCGTGCTCACCAAGGTACGTATCATATCCCTAACATTGAAATAGAGGCGTGCTCACCAAGGTACGTATCATATCCCTAACATTGAAATAGAGGCGTGCTCACCAAGGTACGTATCATATCCCTAACATTGAAATAGAGGCGTGCTCACCAAGGTACGTATCATATCCCTAACATTGAAATAGAGGCGTGCTCACCAAGGTACGTATCATATCCCTAACATTGAAATAGAGGCGTGCTTACCAAGGTACATATCATATCCCTAACATTGAAATAGAGGCGTGCTTACCAAGGTACATATCATATCCCTAACATTGAAATAGAGGCATGCTCACCAAGGTACGTATCATATCCCTAACATTGAAATAGAGGCGTGCTTACCAATGTACGTATCATATCCCTAACATTGAAATAGAGGCGTGCTTACCAAGGTACGTTATAAATACCTAACATTGATATAGAGGTGTGGTCACCAAGGTACGTCACATATCCCGGCCATGTATCTTATTTATATATATACTACTCACATTTTGCTAAGGATCATCTATATTTTGAAAGAAACCCACAAAATGTTAGAAAGGATATTATATTTTCCGTCCGTACTGTTTTGGGCGATTATGTTAGCCTTCCCCAAATCGTCCTGTGTGGGTGTGTTCAGCCAACCATAAAAGCGCGTGCACGGTTTTCCACGTGTACATCTCTTTCAAAAGCTAAGCTAGAATAAGTAAGGCGTTGTTCAAATTGTTAAGGAATTCAAATTGATGAATATTCTTTGCGTGTTTTTGTTTTAATATGGTACAAAGACGAATCAGACAACGGTCTGACAATGTGAGTAATTTATAATATATGTAAACCTATCATAGTTTGCTTTTAATAAAGCCGAGGGCAGATTAACGATCTGAACAGCAGTTACGATGGCATAACATTTGTTCTATTTTGTGGATTGAAATAAAAGTGGGTGAAGAAATGCCTACATGATCCTCGATAGATGTTAAGATCGAAATGGGCATTTCGTTAGATGGCTGGTATGGACTGGACTCTGTTTGACTTACACATTTACTTGAATGTTGAAAAGCAGATCTTACTTATGAAACAGCTTCACATGGCTACCAAGGCATATGCTTGGCTAAGTCATAGCCATGCCATAAGTTTTGTTCTGATAGGCAAAATCGATGAAATGTTCATGTTGGGATTTCTTTGGACCGCCATTGATTTTCCTCATTCTTGCTGAAAAGAAATTGCGGTTCTGTCTCAATTTTGATAATTCTTTCTCGGAAAAATACATATTTAGTAAAATTCAGGTCGAACGACAATTATACGTCAAACTGTCTTTGTCATGAACACTCCTGCGAGGGGATACATTAAAGGTATACTTAATGTCGAACGACCAAATTTGAAATCTGGCGGTTCTGAATTACTTCCCTGATTTGCTGATACAGTCACACTCATAAGTCAAGTTCTATTGGTGGATTCAAAGGATATCCCTTTTATGTGAATTTTAATTCAAATCACTTGCGATTGTAGATGTCGTTTCAGGAACGTTTTTACAGATTTTGTTGCAATTGTAACAGGACAAAATGTGAATATTTAGCATTTGGAAATTTTACCTGTACTAACAATGCAAAATACATTATCTTTTAATTGCACGTAGTGGTGGAAATGAGACCATGGACACCACGATCTGCAGTGGGCGTGGCGGGTGTAATTGTGGGCGATGCCTGTGTGATCAACCTGAATACAGTGGAGAGTTCTGTCAGTGTAACGGCAAAAGATGTGGTGACCTTGATGATCCTTGTTCAGGTAAGCGATGACGTCATCACATTCACGATAACAATCTACATACTGTTCTGTTATCATGGTTGTAGTCACACAGGTGTGTGTGACTGAGTGGTGGAAGTGATCAGGTTCCTTATCACACAAATGTGTGTGACTGAGTGGTGGAAGTGATCAGGTTCCTTGTCACACAGGTGTGTGTGACTGAGTGGTGGAAGTGATCAGGTTTCTTGTCACACAGGTGTGTGTGACTGAGTGGTGGAGGTGATCAGGTTCCTTGTCACACAGGTGTGTGTGACTGAGTGGTGGAGGTGATCAGGTTCCTTGTCACACAGGTGTGTGTGACTGAGTGGTGGAGGTGATCAGGTTCCTTGTCACACAGGTGTGTGTGACTGAGTGGTGGAGGTGATCAGGTTCCTTGTCACACAGGTGTGTGTGACTGAGTGGTGGAGGTGATCAGGTTCCTTGTCACACAGGTGTGTGTGACTGAGTGGTGGAGGTGATCAGGTTCCTTGTCACACAGGTGTGTGTGACTGAGTGGTGGAGGTGATCAGGTTCCTTGTCACACAGGTGTGTGTGACTGAGTGGTGGAGGTGATCAGGTTCCTTGTCACACAGGTGTGTGTGACTGAGTGGTGGAGGTGATCAGGTTCCTTGTCACACAGGTGTGTGTGACTGAGTGGTGGAGGTGATCAGGTTCCTTGTCACACAGGTGTGTGTGACTGAGTGGTGGAGGTGATCAGGTTCCTTGTCACACAGGTGTGTGTGACTGAGTGGTGGAGGTGATCAGGTTCCTTGTCACACAGGTGTGTGTGACTGAGTGGTGGAGGTGATCAGGTTCCTTGTCACACAGGTGTGTGTGACTGAGTGGTGGAGGTGATCAGGTTCCTTGTCACACAGGTGTGTGTGACTGAGTGGTGGAGGTGATCAGGTTCCTTGTCACACAGGTGTGTGTGACTGAGTGGTGGAGGTGATCAGGTTCCTTGTCACACAGGTGTGTGTGACTGAGTGGTGGAGGTGATCAGGTTCCTTGTCACACAGGTGTGTGTGACTGAGTGGTGGAGGTGATCAGGTTCCTTGTCACACAGGTGTGTGTGACTGAGTGGTGGAGGTGATCAGGTTCCTTGTCACACAGGTGTGTGTGACTGAGTGGTGGAGGTGATCAGGTTCCTTGTCACACAGGTGTGTGTGACTGAGTGGTGGAGGTGATCAGGTTCCTTGTCACACAGGTGTGTGTGACTGAGTGGTGGAGGTGATCAGGGTCCTTGTCACACAGGTGTGTGTGACTGAGTGGTGGAGGTGATCAGGTTCCTTGTCACACAGGTAATTAATTAGTTATAACTGAGTTGTACCGGCGTGTTGGCATTGATCTTGTTTCCTTACAGGTATGTTGCCACCATAGGTGTTAACCTCTGACACCTCCAATGAGGGAGATCGCCCTCATTCCACATTTCAAATGAGGGAGAAAGTGCATGAAACGCAACTGGAACAGCTTTGTTCAGTTTATCTTTCCCTTTTATTTATCAAACATAACTCCAAAAAGTAGTTATTTGATTTAGACACACCTGTTATGATCATTAGACACACACTGCAGTAAATAGTAGATAATTTGACCACAGAATGTAGATTTGTGTGAGTTTGGAGATCGAGGATAGGTAAATTGTGGCCACAATGAGGGAGGTTAGACATATATGTGTCACATCGGTATTTTGTTGTAACGATGAGTTGTCCATGTAAGTGATCAGGTTCATTGTCATACATGTGTCATGTTATACAGGTAACGGTGTATGTGACTGTCAGGAGTGTCGCTGTAACGAGGGATACATGGGAAAACTTTGTGACTGCCCTCTGTCCACTGCCAACTGCGAAAATAACGGGGTAATTAAACTCCTTCTATCCCATAAAGTTCATGTAAGGAATGACCATCATTTTGATGGCATACATGGTGATATAAATGCAGTTGGCAACGAACATATGCTATGGAGATGAAACACAGTTAGCACTCCACACAAAATATGTTTATTGCAAACTACCATAGATGCCGTCAAAAATGGTCATTCCTTATATGAACTTTATGAAACGTCGTCAAAATGAAGGCGTATGAAGGCGAATATCCGAACAATTATTTAAATGATGCACGAAGACAAGACAGAGTGGGTTGCTTCATTATTGTAACTACGGTAGTCGTGGTTGCTAGGATAAGATAGTTCTAATGAATCGTCATCGATATATGAGTAAATTTTAAAAATACACAGTGAAGCAAAATATTTTCCTTTTAATAGCTTTGGGTTTTATTCTGAGTAGCACTTTTCTCATTTTTGCATTTATAGTGGTCGTTACGGACGGTCGTTTAAGTGTCCTGGTCATTCAGTAAAATTATATTATGAGTGTAGCTAGTACTATGTGTTCGACTCTTATCTATTTCAGACAATTTGCTCTGACAATGGCGACTGCCGATGTGGAAAGTGTGAATGTAATTCTTCTTATACTGGAGTCCTTTGTGAGCAATGCACGGTAAGTCTTATACTGGAGTCCTTTGTGAGCAATGCACGGTAAGTCTTATACTGGAGTCCTTTGTGAGCAATGTACGGTAAGTCTTATACTGGAGTCCTTTGTGAGCAATGTACGGTAAGTCTTATACTGGAGTCCTTTGTGAGCAATGTACGGTAAGTCTTATACTGGAGTCCTTTGTGAGCAATGTACGGTAAGTCTTATACTGGAGTCCTTTGTGAGCAATGTACGGTAAGTCTTATACTGGAGTCCTTTGTGAGCAATGTACGGTAAGTCTTATACTGGAGTCCTTTGTGAGCAATGTACGGTAAGTCTTATACTGGAGTCCTTTGTGAGCAATGTACGGTAAGTCTTATACTGGAGTCCTTTGTGAGCAATGTACGGTAAGTCTTATACTGGAGTCCTTTGTGAGCAATGTACGGTAAGTCTTATACTGGAGTCCTTTGTGAGCAATGTACGGTAAGTCTTATACTGGAGTCCTTTGTGAGCAATGTACGGTAAGTCTTATACTGGAGTCCTTTGTGAGCAATGTACGGTAAGTCTTATACTGGAGTCCTTTGTGAGCAATGTACGGTAAGTCTTATACTGGAGTCCTTTGTGAGCAATGTACGGTAAGTCTTATACTGGAGTCCTTTGTGAGCAATGTACGGTAAGTCTTATACTGGAGTCCTTTGTGAGCAATGTACGGTAAGTCTTATACTGGAGTCCTTTGTGAGCAATGTACGGTAAGTCTTATACTGGAGTCCTTTGTGAGCAATGTACGGTAAGTCTTATACTGGAGTCCTTTGTGAGCAATGTACGGTAAGTCTTATACTGGAGTCCTTTGTGAGCAATGTACGGTAAGTCTTATACTGGAGTCCTTTGTGAGCAATGTACGGTAAGTCTTATACTGGAGTCCTTTGTGAGCAATGTACGGTAAGTCTTATACTGGAGTCCTTTGTGAGCAATGTACGGTAAGTCTTATACTGGAGTCCTTTGTGAGCAATGTACGGTAAGTCTTATACTGGAGTCCTTTGTGAGCAATGTACGGTAAGTCTTATACTGGAGTCCTTTGTGAGCAATGTACGGTAAGTCTTATACTGGAGTCCTTTGTGAGCAATGTACGGTAAGTCTTATACTGGAGTCCTTTGTGAGCAATGTACGGTAAGTCTTATACTGGAGTCCTTTGTGAGCAATGTACGGTAAGTCTTATACTGGAGTCCTTTGTGAGCAATGTACGGTAAGTCTTATACTGGAGTCCTTTGTGAGCAATGTACGGTAAGTCTTATACTGGAGTCCTTTGTGAGCAATGTACGGTAAGTCTTATACTGGAGTCCTTTGTGAGCAATGTACGGTAAGTCTTATACTGGAGTCCTTTGTGAGCAATGTACGGTAAGTCTTATACTGGAGTCCTTTGTGAGCAATGTACGGTAAGTCTTATACTGGAGTCCTTTGTGAGCAATGTACGGTAAGTCTTATACTGGAGTCCTTTGTGAGCAATGTACGGTAAGTCTTATACTGGAGTCCTTTGTGAGCAATGTACGGTAAGTCTTATACTGGAGTCCTTTGTGAGCAATGTACGGTAAGTCTTATACTGGAGTCCTTTGTGAGCAATGTACGGTAAGTCTTATACTGGAGTCCTTTGTGAGCAATGTACGGTAAGTCTTATACTGGAGTCCTTTGTGAGCAATGTACGGTAAGTCTTATACTGGAGTCCTTTGTGAGCAATGTACGGTAAGTCTTATACTGGAGTCCTTTGTGAGCAATGTACGGTAAGTCTTATACTGGAGTCCTTTGTGAGCAATGTACGGTAAGTCTTATACTGGAGTCCTTTGTGAGCAATGTACGGTAAGTCTTATACTGGAGTCCTTTGTGAGCAATGTACGGTAAGTCTTATACTGGAGTCCTTTGTGAGCAATGTACGGTAAGTCTTATACTGGAGTCCTTTGTGAGCAATGTACGGTAAGTCTTATACTGGAGTCCTTTGTGAGCAATGTACGGTAAGTCTTATACTGGAGTCCTTTGTGAGCAATGTACGGTAAGTCTTATACTGGAGTCCTTTGTGAGCAATGTACGGTAAGTCTTATACTGGAGTCCTTTGTGAGCAATGTACGGTAAGTCTTATACTGGAGTCCTTTGTGAGCAATGTACGGTAAGTCTTATACTGGAGTCCTTTGTGAGCAATGTACGGTAAGTCTTATACTGGAGTCCTTTGTGAGCAATGCACGGTAAGTTCCTTCTTATCATACGGGATTTTAGTAAGATGATAAAAACGTTCAAACTGCTATAGGTACTTTCGTAACATAACACCAGTGATTATATTTGTAACAAGCTAAGTAACTCGAACATCCTTATTCGTCTGATACAACTTCGATAATTTAATGCCGGGGTCAAGGGTCACGGTAAAGGCCAGAAGGTTAACACTAACTCAATTGGTTATGGAAGGGAAGCACTTTATACAAGCTCATGAATGCAACTTCTCTAGAACACAATTGAAAACTCAAAGATCAAAATTACCGAATCATGCAAGATAAATGTGGACACTTGCTTGGGAATCAATTAAACACTGTTTTGACCCTAGTTTGATCGGATGTCGGAACAGATGGTCACAATGCCATATGTAAATGAAATCTCAAAACAGTTGGGGTTTGCAACATTATTAATTCAATTTTAGTTACATTACAATTTCTAAGATATGTTGAGCTACAGTAGCTCCTCAAGCTAATAAGGACCGATATACATAACTGTGTTTAACTCCAAAACGGCTTTATGTTAATATATCTGCCATTTTACCTATTTTTTTAAGTACTGAGATCGTGTGAGGGTAATCTTGTTTATGATATTCCTGTTAAACTTATCTGTTTAAAGAGTTGTGCCGAGGGTCTGTGTGACAGTAACCGCGCGTGCGCCATGTGTACCCTTAAGGACGACGACAAGTCCGGAGATATGGGACGGGAGGAGTGTCAAAGCAACTGTCAGCATGTCACCCTCGTCGATGACTTGGACTGTAAGTATCACATCAGTATTGTGTGTTCATTTGGTCCCTTCATGAAGGGATGCAGGGAAGTGAGCCGTAAGCAAAAATAGATGAACTGTTGCTTTGAAGTTCATTTACTTACTTTGTATAGGGACCATTCTTACAAGTACACTATGTATAACTTGCATTATAAAATGTATGTATTGATACCTGTCCATGTCTCATTACAGCACACCATAACAAAAGAGACTTTTCCATTCAGACTATTTGTTTCCATATTTCTTCTTGGAGATGTTCAGGAGAAAATATTCCTTTTCATTTCAGCTGTGAGAAAAAACGATTCTCAGACGTGTAAATTCAAAGACGCTGATAATTGCGTGATGTCGTTCATTCTTCATATCGAGGACGGAGACCGGGTGGTGTTTGTCAAGAAAACCACAGGTTTGTATGTTAGCTTTTCTCAAAATCACTCACCGATTACATTGTACTGTATTTCTGTTGTCTACTAATGTTCCCTCAATGTAACAACCCACATATTTCTGTCTAATCACCATGGTGACAAACTTGTGTTTCAAACTTTTATTTTGCATCTCTAGCATCATCAATAAGTCCTAAAGGACGACACAATTTTGTGATGAACTGTTTTTCATTTTTGGAATACTGTATCTATTACTGTATCTAATACTGTATATAATACTGTATATATTACTGTATATAATACTGTATTTAATACGGTATATAATACTGTATCTATTACTGTATCTAATACGGTATATAATACTGTATATAATACTGTATATAATACTGTATCTGTTACTGTATCTACTACTGTATATAATACTGTATCTATTACTGTATCTAATACTGTATATAATACTGTATCTAATACTGTATATAATACTGTATGTAATACTGTATATAATACTGTATCTATTACTGTATCTAATACTGTATCTAATACTGTATATAATACTGTATCTAATACTGTATATAATACTGTATGTAATACTGTATATAATACTGTATCTATTACTGTATCTAATACTGTATATAATACTGTATATAATACTGTATCTATTACTGTATCTACTACTGTATATAATACTGTATCTATTACTGTATATAATACTGTATCTATTAGTGTATCTAATACTGTATATAATACTGTATCTAATACTGTATATAATACTATATCTATTACTGTATATACTACTGTATATAATACTGTATATATTACTGTATCTAATACTGTATATAATACTGTATCTAATACTGTATCTATAACTGTATCTACGGTATTTAATACTGTATCTAATACTGTATCTATTACTGTATCTAATACTGTATCTAATACTGTATCTATTACTGTATCTACGGTATTTAATACTGTATCTAATACTGTATCTATTACTGTATCTAATACGGTATATAATACTGTATCTATTACTGTATCTATTACGGTATATAATACTGTATCTATTGTGTATATTAACTTCTTTCAAGGTGCAATCACCGGTTTGTGTTTTACGTCCATCTTTCTTGTATTGTTTCCCGAAGAACGAACCAATTACCAACCAATGTATTTATATGATCCCTCAATGTAACGTCATAAGAAGTTACCCATATTTGTCTGTTCCTTCAAACAACCAATCATTCCATTGTCTATACGTCTGTTACAGCGTGCCCGCCGAAGCCAGCTAATATTCTGATACTTGCCATCAGTATCTCCGCCGCTGTGTTCCTGGTTGCCCTCATCCTCTTGGTTCTGTGGAGACTGTTTGCGTTCTTTTACGATGGTATCGAGTACTCCAAGTTCGAAGAAGAAATTAAAAATCCGAAATGGGGCTTTGTGAGTTTGATTTATTTTATAATCAGGCGTATTAACAATAATTCTATAACATAACCTTATTCTGACAAACAATACTAGGTCGATTGAAACTATTATCTGCCGTTTTCTTATTCGGGAAAAGTATTATAAATATATACACAGGTCTTCAATATTGTTATAAAGGCTATAGAGATAATAGGGCTGGGTTAGGGTTAACCGTTAACCCTTACCCAATATCAGACTTTACAGTGTAACGTGGCCTTACTGAAAACATATTAACTCATATCGTCACGTCACTTTCAGGATGACAACCCCTTGTTTGTGAGCCCGACGTCCAGGTATGAAAACCCGATGTGTGATCAACAAACAGAGGCACGATTCTAATGAACTGTTAGGGAACCTCAGTTTTAACATTGGATGTTTCGTCTTGTATAGGGCGACATAGAGGGTGCGTCTGACCATAGTATACCAACGTTAACCTACGCTCGGAAGGATCTCAGTGTGAACGTAAAACATCGGTTATTAGTTTACATAGGTGTCAACCTCTGAAACCTCCAATGAGGGAGCTCTCACTCATTCCACATTTTAAATGAGGGAGAAAGTGTGTGAAACGCGACTGAAACTGCTTCGCTCAATATATCTTTCCCGTTGTATCAAGATAACTGCAAAGAGAGTATTCATTTGATTCCGACCCACATGTTATGATTATTACACACATTCCTGCAGTAACTAGGATTTTAAGGTGTACATAAACGTTTGATATCTTTCCTAAAGAACAAAGATTACCAGGATCGCATCGGGTGTCTCAATCTATAGAAAAACATAGTCCGATCACCATAAATATCTTATCCTTAAAACGATATTGTAAACAAATATTGTCTCAATCTAAAACCATAATAATGAATGTCTAATATAAAAATATACCAAGATTGCATTGGGTGTCACAATAAAAACAACGATACAGTCAGTTCACAATAAATAGCTTATTTTTAAATAGATATGATTTGATCACACCGAACAAATGACATAACGTCTCATTTGATGTGTCATCCTTAAAAATGATAATATGATATTGGGCGTTTCTTACTAAAACACAATGAGATCATATTGGGCGTTTCTTACTAAAACATAATGAGATCATATTGGGCGTTTCTTACTAAAACATGATAAGATCATATTGGGCGTTTCTTACTAAAACATAATGATATCATATTGGGCGTTTCTTACTAAAACATTATGAGATCATATTGGGCGTTTCATCCTAAAACATGATAAGATCATATTGGGCGTTTCTTACTAAAACATAATGAGATCGTATTGGGCGTTTCTTACTAAAACATTATGAGATGATATTGAGCGTTTCATCCTAAAACATGATAAGAGCATATTGGGCGTTTCTTACTAAAACATAATGATATCATATTGGGCGTTTCTTACTAAAACATTATGAGATCATATTGGGCGTTTCATCCTAAAACATGATAAGATCATATTGGGCATTTCTTACTAAAACATGATAAGATCATATTGGGCGTTTCTTACTAAAACATAATGAGATCATATTGGGCATTTCTTACTACAACATAATGAGATCATATTGGGCGTTTCATCCTAAAAGATGATAAGATCATATTGGGCGTTTCTTACTACAACATAATGAGATCATATTGGGCGTTTCTTACTAAAACATGATAAGATCATATCGAGTGTTTCATCCTAAAAGATGATAAGATCATATTTGGCGTTTCTTACTAAAACATGATTAAATCATATCGGGTGTTTCTTACTAAAACATAATGAGATCATACTGGGCGTTTCTTCCTAAAACATGGTAAGATCATATTGGGCGTTTCTTACTAAAACATTATGAGATCTTATTGGGCGTTTCATCCTAAAACATGATAAGATCATATTGGGCGTTTCTTACTAAAACATGATAAGATCATATTGGGCGTTTCTTGCTAAAACATTATGAGATCTTATTGGCCGTTTCTTACTAAAACATAATGAGATCATATTGGGCGTTTCTTACCACAACATAATGAGATCATACTGGGCGTTACATACATTATGAGATCTTATTGGCCGTTTCTTACTAAAACATGATAAGATCATATTGGGCGTTTCTTACTAAAACACAATGAGGTCAAATTGGGCGTTTCTTCCTTAAACATGATAAGATCATATTGGGCGTTTCTTACTACAACATAATGAGATCATATTGGGCGTTTCTTACTAAAACATTATGAGATCTTATTGGGTGTTTCATCCTAAAACATGATAAGATCATATTGGGCGTTTCTTACTAAAACACAATGAGATCAAATTGGGCGTTTCATCCTAAAACATAATGAGATCATATTGGGCTTTTCTTACTAAAACATGATAAGATCATATTGGGCGTTTCTTACTAAAACATAATGAGATTAATTGGGCGTTTCTTACTAAAACATAATGAGATCATATTGGGCGTTTTTTACTAAAACATAATGAGATCATATCGGGCGTTTTTTACTACAATATAATGAGATCATATTGGGCGTTTTTTACTAAAACATAATGAGATCATATTGGGCGTTTCTTACTAAAACATTATGAGATCATATTGGGCGTTTCTTACTAAAACATAATGAGATTAATTGGGCATTTCTTACTAAAACATAATGAGATCATATTGGGCGTTTGTTACTAAAACATAATGAGATCATATTGGGCGTTTTTTTACTAAAACATAATGAGATCATATTGGCGTTTGTTACTAAAACATAATGAGATTAATTGGGCGTTTCTTACTAAAACATAATGAGATCATATCGGGCGTTTTTTACAAAAACATAATGGATCATATTGGGCGTTTTTTACTAAAACATAAGGAGATCATATTGGGCGTTTTTTTACTAAAACATAATGAGATCATATTGGGCGTTCTTTTACTAAAACATAATGAGATCATATTGTGCGTTTGTTACTAAAACATAATGAGATCATATTGGCGTTTGTTACTAAAACATAATGAGATCATATTGGGCGTTTCTTACTAAAACATTATAAGATCATATTGGGCGTTTCTTACTAAAACATAATGATATCATATTGGGCGTTTGTTACTAAAACATAATGAGATTAATTGGGCGTTTCTTACTCAAACATAATGAGATCATATCGGGCGTTTTTTACTAAAACATAATGGATCATATTGGGCGTTTTTTACTAAAACATAATGAGATCATATTGGGCGTTTTTTTACTAAAACATAATGAGATCATATTGGGCGTTTCTTACTAAAACATTATAAGATCATATTGGGCGTTTCTTACTAAAACATAATGAGATCATATTGGGCGTTTGTTACTAAAACATAATGAGATTAATTGGGCGTTTCTTACTAAAACATAATGAGATTAATTGGGCGTTTCTTACTAAAACATAATGAGATTAATTGGGCGTTTCTTACTAAAACATAATGAGATTAATTGGGCGTTTCTTACTAAAACATAATGAGATTAATTGGGCGTTTCTTACTAAAACATAATGAGATTAATTGGGCGTTTCTTACTAAAACATAATGAGATTAATTGGGCGTTTCTTACTAAAACATAATGAGATTAATTGGGCGTTTTTTACTAAAACATAATGAGATCATATTGGGCGTTTTTTACTAAAACATAATGAGATCATACTGGGCGTTACATACTAAAACATGATAAGATCATATTGGGCGTTTCTAACTAAAACATAATGAGATCATATTGGGCGTTTCTTACTAAAATTGTTACATAGTATCATAAACTAGCTTAAAACATATTAAAGTAAATGTCAGATCTTATATGATGCCTGATACTACGAACAGTCTGATAGCATCGGACATCTCACGCAAAAATAAGTATAATAACCACGAGTCGAATTTTCATCCTGAAATAAGTAACAAAATCATATCTGACGTCTGTCCTGAAATAAATATATATGCAAGACCACACACTTGTGTTTTTCTAACGAATCAGAAAGCACGAGTTTATTGCGCGGACGAATATATTCACGAGTGCGCTCCGCGCACTCGTGAATATACATGTCCGCGCAATAAATGGGTGCTTTCTGATTCGTTAGGAAAACTCAAGTGTGTGGTCTTGCTTTTATCACATACCTTCCGTATTGGGTAGAGATCGATACAAATTTTTGTTTTGCAAATACCGGAAACTTTTCAGTTCGCCATGACAAGGATATTTCCATACAAAGTAGTTTCGGCTAGTAGGTAAATACAGCATTCCGTATTGCACATGTGCAATACAGAACGTTGTATTTCATGATCTGCAAATTGCTTGTTTTACTATAACAAGATTCAACAGGTATGTGATAAAAGATCATAACTGACGTCTCATCCAAGCAATACGATATCTCCTCGTGATATACAAGTATTATCAGAACAATTTGAACGTTTCGTTCTAAAATTATTATAATAATTTAATACACATCCGACGTTTTATAATCAGTACTGTCCTATCATACTGAATGTTCCTTCCTAATATAAAAAACATGATCCCATCGCACGTCTCAACAAAAAAAGTGTGGGGAGTGGGGTTATTTAGATCATAGATCATACTAAGTGCTTACAAAGAATGTGTCATTCTAAAATATGTTATCACATTGACCGTGTCATTGTATAAAGTGTATCATGTGATATGTGTTCATGATCACATATACTTATATCACATCGAGTGTCCTATTCTGACAACAACCTCGCAGCAATGGAGTCCTGGCCGACATACTGTTCTGTTATTTTGTTTATGTCCTCAACGATGTCCGCCTGTTATATCTTCAACATTAACATTCCAAAGTTCGAGTGAGTAGTGCGCTACTCAGGACAGGACGGGGAGTCCTCCCTAATTTGAGATGGTGTCGGGATGTTTTTTGCAGAAACAATACGACGAAAACAACGGAAAACGATTATGCACTACACGTTTGATATCAATCCTGTTATCACCAAAACCTGTACATAATATTTCTCTTACACCGGTCATGTTGTGTTGTACTACACCGGTTAGCTTGTGTTGTACTACACCGGTCATGTTATGTTGTACTACACCGGTCATGTTGTGTTGTACTACACCGGTTAGCTTGTGTTGTACTACACCGGTCATGTTGTGCTGTACTACACCGGTCATGTTGTGTTGTACTACACCGGTTAGCTTGTGTTGTACTACACCGGTTAGATTGTGTTCTACTACACCGGTTAGCTTGTGTTGTACCTCACCGGTTAGCTTGTGTTGTACTACACCGGTTAGCTTGTGTTGTACTACACCGGTAAGCTTGTGTTGTACTACACCAGTCATGTTGTGTTGTACTTCACCGGTTAGCTTGTAAGGTCTATTTATAAGAAGTTGATGCTTTTATTTGAAATCGTTTACTTGATTATATTGCCTGATTGTATTAATTGTATTGTTAGATATTATTAAATAATGTGTGTGTTGCTTTGTTCCTACTGTAGAGAATACAGGCATACTATATAAAATATAAGGGAAACATTGTTTTGAGAATTTTCCTAGAAACTAATTAAGAGCTACCGTGCCGCAATCTTTCGGAAAAACGTGGTTAAAATGAAAGTCTGAAAATCCAATAAATATTATAAGTATATCGGTATGAACAGATTCCAAAGACAAACGGTTGCGTCAATTATAAATGTGCGAAGGC